TGAGTCAAACTCAAAAGTCTTAATTGGTTGTACTATAAATAATTACATTTGTATCTTTTAGACTTAACGAGTGTAAGTTTTTATTAATAATACTTGATTTGATGAGTTTGAGTGTTTTTAATATTCAAGTTTGAACACGACGACTCTTTTTTTGCTATTCTCCCAAACAACACCAAAATCATAAACAGTAAACCTAGCCAGGAGTTTTTTCGCCGGCCTTCTCTCAGCGGAGCTCTCCGCGCCGTCGCGGTGCTACCCGCAAGCTGGCCTTTCTCCCTGGCTCCTGTCGCATTGCGGTCCTCTAGGTTGAGTAGCTTCTCGTCGTTTTGAAATTTGTTGGTTGTGCGGTTCGCGAGGGCGATTTTGGCAACGGGCTGGGCGACTTGCTCTGATTAATGCTTTGTGTTAGTCGGAGCCGATGTTAGCTTCTCCTCCTCCTATATGCTCTAGTGCTGTGCGATGGGTCTCGTGTGGGTCGTGACTCAGGTGGTTTGTCGGCCTTTGGCTGCCGGTTGGTGTGGGGGTTGGAATTTGAGGCTGGTCTCTGGTTTCTAGTCCGAGGGTCTTTTACTTGGGAGAGAGAAAGGGTCCATGGGTTTTAAGTCTAGTTAGGCGTAGTATTACTGTAGTGTCTCTATCCATGGGGTGGTTGCCCTCGAGGGTCAGTGTCGTGGTTTCCTTTGCAGAGTGGCTTGCGGCTGTAAGGAGGACTATAATTCTAGTTATAGTGTTCTTAGTTTTTGTTGGTGTTTGTGTTGGTTTTTTTTCTCCCATTTGAAAAATAGCTTTCTCTTTATTTTCCTTGTTTAGAGTTAGAATTTGTTGGAATATGGATCATGAAGATCAAGTGTGCAGATTAAGTGTTGAAAGTGCAGATGTGTTTTTTGATTGTTTCCTTTTGAAAAGTTTTTCTTTTCCCGGTTTTTTTTAATAAGAAAACGTTATTACATTTTCTGTTGTTGTTCTGTTTCTTTTACTTCTTTGAACGACGTCGCTTAGGCTAGTAAGAACGACGTCGTTTTGTGTTACGTCTTGCATGACTCATATGCTTATATATATGAGCTTTGTACGTACAGTTTGATCTGAGAAAATGATACAAAAAATGGAGAGATTTGCTCCGCAAAATATCTGAGTTTTTACATGGTACCAGAGCGGCGATTTTGGGCAACCGCTGTTCGTTCGTTGATCAATTGAAGATTCTGTGGAAAGATCGAGCTTAGTTGAGCTGAAATTGACAGCAATGGCGTAACAAGGAGGAAATCCATGGCCGCTCCTCACCTCAAGCGCAGAATCGCGGTCGAGAAACGCCGATTCAGATCCTTATTTGCTTACCAACTCCGATGGTCCTGGTACGTTGTTGGTTTCACATCAATTGACTGGTAATAATTTCCTCTCTTGGAAGAGATCTGTGATGATTGCTTTGGGAGCAAAAACGAAGCTTGGTTTTATCAATGGTGAAGTCGTGAAACCTAGTCCAGATGATCCAAACTTTGCAGCATGGAGAAAGGTAGATTGGATGGTTTTCTCGTGGATCTTAAACTCTCTCTCGAAGGACATTGCAGATTCAGTCATTTATGCAGAAAGCTCTAAAGATCTATGGGAAGAGATTTGCCAACGCTATGGTGAGAGCAATGGACCGATGAAGTACAAACTGCAAAGGGAGATTACGAGCTTAACACAAGGGAATAGCACTGTAACTGAGTACTTCAACAAGCTAAAGAAGCTATGGGATGAGTATGCCTGTATTATTCCTATTCAGCCTTGTGACTGTGAAAAAGGAAAATTGATGGTCCAACATGAGGCAGAAACTAAGCTGATTCAGTTCTTAATGGGGTTAAATGACAACTTTGAAAGTGTCAGAAATCAGATGTTGTTAGTGGAGCCTTTACCAACAATAAGTAAAGCATTCTCTATGATCCTGATTGCAGAAAGACAGAGAAATGTGCAGAACACATATGGTGAAAGAATTGACAGTGTTGCAATGATGGCAAAAACTGGTGGGACAGGAAGAGGTCAAGGAAGAGGAAATAATGGTGGAAGAGGTTTCTTTGGTGGAAATCAGTGGAATGGAGGTAGAGGAGGCAGAGGTGGTGTTAGGTTGATCAAGGAAGAAAAAGCAAAGCTGTTGTGTGAGAAATGTGGTATGCATGGTCACACCATTAGCACATGCTTTAAGGTGCATAGGATTCCAGAGTGGTATAAAGAATATAAGGATCAACAGGGCAGAACATATGTTAATAGTGCAGTGACACAACAAGGAGAAGAAGGAGTGCAAGAAACTCACAGAGATGAGTCTAGAGGGAAAGATTTGGAAGCCATTATCAAACAGTTGAATGAGCTGACTCAATATGTTAAAGGAAAGGAAGAAAATGTGAATACGATGGATTATGCTCAGTTTGTGAGCTTCACAGGAATGGATGAAAAGGATCACATGCACTATGCCTTATCCACAATTGAAGGAGCTGCAAAGGATAAATGGATAGTGGACACTGGAGCAAGCAGACACATTTGCATAAATAAAGATATCATGAGAAATATACAAAAATTGAAATTCCCAGTTATGGTCTGTTTGCCAGATGGATCTTTGAAGAATGTGACTGACAAAGGAGAAGTGGTGATTAGTGAAAGGATAGTGCTACTTGATGTGCTGTACACCCCAGATTGTAAATACAACTTGATGTCAGTTGTTCAATTGTGTAACATCAATAAGCTCAGATGGGAGTTTGATGAGTCTCAGTGTACTCTATATGATAAAAGGAATGGTGATGCACTTGGACATGGGATCCTTGAAGGTAATCTATATGTTTTTAAAGAATTGATGAGGATGGAGACATCTTGTAGTCTTACCATGGAGGATTGGCATAGATACTTGGGGCATGCCTCATTTGGTGCCTTAAAACATCTAAGTATATTGAAGGGAAAGACTCAAGGAAGTGAAGAAGCACTGAAAAGTTGTGAGATTTGCATGAAGGCCAAACAGCACAGACTGCCATTTCACAGTAGCAGCATACATACTTTGGCCTGCTTTGAGCTCATTCATGTTGACATTTGGGGACCATGCCAAGAAGAATCTGTAACCAACACACCATATTTCCTCAGTATTGTGGATGATTTCAGTAGAGGGACTTGGGTTTTCCTTATGAAAGAAAAAACAGACACTGGAAAAATGCTGAGATCATTCATGATAATGGTGAAGACACAGCATGGACTTGAAGTTAAAAGGGTAAGAACAGATAATGGTAAAGAATTTATCAGAAAAGATTTACTGGAATTTTTTGCAGACAAAGAGATAGTTCATGAGACAACATGTGCTTACACACCTCAGCAAAATAGGATTGTAGAGAGGAAACATAGGCATTTATTGGAAGTTGCAAGAGCTTTTATGTTTCAAGGAAACTTGCCACTGAAATTTTGGCCCTTTTCAGTTCTAACAGCTGCCTATGTGATAAATAGAACACCAAGTTCAATGTTAAAATGGGAGACACCATTTGAAAGATTAACCAAAAGAACACCAGACTACCAAGGTATCAAACCTTTTGGGTGTCTTGCTTATGCTGCCAAGGATATACCACACAGGACTAAATTTGGTCAAAGGGGACTCAGGTGCATTTTCTTGGGCTTTGTGACTGGAAAGAAAGCATATCAGCTATATGATTTGGAGTCTGAAGAGCTGCTCATATCTAGAGATGTCACATTTGTTAAGAATTATTATCCTTATCAGAGGGATCTACATACAAATCAACAAGTTATTCCATATGTTATACCAGGTGATGACATCACTGCTTCTCCCACCATCAACAATGACTTGAGAGACAATGAAGTTGTAGAGCAACATGATGGTGGACTAAAAAGGAGTACAAGGGTCAAGAAGCCACCACTATGGCAACAAGACTACATCTGTCAAGTATCAGCTTTCATGAGTAACATCTCACTTGATAAATAACCAACTCATTATGGGCAAGCTTGTAAGCATCCAGCTTGGGTAAATGCTAAGGAAAAAGAGCTTGATGCTCTTGAACACAACCAAACCTGGGAACTAACTAACTTACCACAAGGGAAGAAGACTATAGGCTCAAAATGGGTCTACAAAATCAAGAGAAAACCAGATGGATCAGTGGAGAGATACAAGGCTAGACTTGTGGCAAAAGGGGTACAGCCAAATAGAATGAGTGGATTGTTTTGATATTTTTTCTCCAGTAGCCAAACTGGTGACTGTAAGATTACTGATTGCACTGAGTGTTCATCATGGCTGGAATTTATATCAAGTAGATGTGAACAATGCATTCTTGCATGGCCATTTATCTGAAGAAGTCTACATGCAACCACCCCAAGGGTATCATAAAGCTGGTAAAGGACAAGTATGTAGACTACATAGAAGTTTGTATGGGTTGAAACAGGCTTCTAGGGAGTGGAATTTGGAGTTATGCACCAAACTGGGGGATTTTGGACTGCTGCAGTCCACTTTTGATCATTGTTTGTTCACTATGACAAGAGGAGCAGATTTTTTGGCCATCTTAGTGTATGTGGATGATGTCCTTCTCACAGGGTCCAATGAAGCAATGATAGAAGAATTAAGAAGGTATCTTGATACTATTTTTACCATCAAGGATCTTGGGCTGGCTCAATATTTCTTAGGGGTTGAGATTATAAAACAGCAAACTGGAGTTTTTCTGGGGCAAAGAAAATATATTTTGGACCTACTGGGTGACATGGGTTTATTAAACTGCAAAGCAGCATCCACACCATTGCCACATGGGACTAGCCTAAAGGAACAAGATGGTGCTTTGTTGGAACAGCCTGATCAATACATGAGACTCATAGAGAGGCTCCTATATCTCAACATGACCAGACCAGATGTAACCTATGTGGTGCAGCAACTCAGCCAATTTGTGGGGTCTCTTGTGTTAAACATTGGGAGTTTGCACTACATGTTTTGAGATACTTGAAAGGAACAACAGATATGGGACTGAACTTCATCAAAGGAGACATTTCTAAGCTTGTGGCTTTCTGTGATGCTGATTGGGCAGCCTGCAAGGATACAAGAAGGTCTATCACTGGTTATTGCATCCATTTGGGAGGGTGTTTGATTTCTTGGAAGAGCAAGAAGCAAGTGACAGTTTCTAAGTCCTCAGCAGAAGCTGAATATAGAGCCATGAGCTCCACAGTTTCAGAACTTCTGTGGATTTCTTATGTTGCTCAAGACCTTAGGATCAATATAGATTACCCCATTCCTCTCCTCTGTGATAATAGGGCAGCCATACACATCAGTGCCAACCCCGTTTTCCATGAACGCACTAAGCATTTGGATATAGACTGTCATCTTGTGAGGGAAAAGACTAAAGCTGGCTTTGTTCAACCTATGCATGTTGGGACACTAGGGCAGTCTGCTGATCTTTTTACTAAGTTTCTTGGAGGGCCTCGTTTTCGGTTTCTTGTTGACAAGCTGGGCATGGTCAACTCACCCTGCCCACCTTGAGGAGGGGGTGTTGGAATATGGATCATGAAGATCAAGTGTGCAGATTAAGTGTTGAAAGTCCAGATATGTTTTTTGATTGTTTCCTTTTGAAAAGTTTTTCTTTTCCCGGTTTTTTTAATAAGAAAATGTTATCACGTTTTCTGTTGTTGTTCTGTTTCTTTTACTTCACGACGTCGATTAGGCTAGTAAGAACGACGTCGTTTTGTGTTACGTCTTGCATGACTCATATGCTTATATATATGAGCTTTGTACGTACAGTTTGATATGAGAAAATGATACAGATAATGGAGAGATTTGCTCCGCAAAATATCTGAGTTTTTACAAAATTATCCACCAGTGAAAATTTTGATTTCTTCGTTTAGAGTTTGTGAGTGTGTTTAAGTGTAGTAATTTTTAGATTACAAACATTCTCGTCGTGTAGATCTCTCTCTGAATTCAACTGTTTATTTGGTTAGCTGCTTATAAATATGTGTTTTTATTAATAAAATTTATGGGTAAAAAAAAAGGAGTATTGATAAAATGAAGTGATGGTGTGGGAGGAGACAAGGTAACTTGGATTCAGATCAACAGCGTTGACTTCTGTCCCTATAGAGGAATAAACAATAGTTCAAAAAAGAAAATAATTATTTGTGCATTTAGTATATTCACCTTGAAATATTTTATAATTAAAAGTTGGAACCAAAGTGATGTGAATAAAATAAATACTGTATCTTTTTCGATGACTTTAATGTGATCATTATCCAAATAGTCAACATGCAACTTTGACGACATGACAGAAATCTGGAAATTCTGTTTCAGTTGCCTCTTTAAAATTCTCCGATTTAGACTTTCCCTTTTCTTTATGATGAATAGAAATGTAGGTGCAATTACAAAAATGCCCTCAGGAAACATGCTGTAATTTTCAATACAACATGTAAACTTGGGTGTAAACATGGCCAAAACCGAAACATTGACCCGGACACGGCACTGACCTATGCACGTGCCCGATCAATGGCCCTGTTTATCGGGTTGGGTCGGGTCCGGGTCCATCCCGGGTCTGTCATTTAAAAAAATAGATTTTAAAAAAAAAAATAAAAAAAAGTGGGCCATCGACCTAGCCGGCCCCGTCATGAAATGAATGACCCTGAAACGGCCTGGCGAAAATCTAGTCCCGTCCCGGACCCTTGGTCAACAGATTTGACTGGGCCGGTTCCATGCCGAGAGGATGGAGGCAACCCTTGGCCATGTCTACTTGGGTGTTTAGTTCTAGGTATTTTAGGTTCAAATGAATTATGGATGTTTGTGAGGGAGGAAAAAAAAAAGAATCAAATAAACACAAATTCATATAATTAGTTCAAAACTAAAAACAAGATTACTGTGCTAGGCTGGAATACTATTTTTACCTATGCTACCTGGACTCGGATATGGGTGGCGTATCGGGTGTGGAGATATGAGCGTCCGACTCGTCAATAGTTTAGAAATCTTGAATATTTTAGGCTAAAATGCCACACCCGACACTCATACCCACACCAGTGTCGACACAACATGACACGGGTATTCTTCCTAAATAGAAGAGTCCGAGTAACATAGATTTTTACAAATACTCGTACATTCACTACCCGTCTAAATATTTTTCACTATTTATTTTCGTCACATAGTATGAAAGGTCGACCCATCTACCTGTTAGGCTGCCCCACACAAGAATTTGTGAAATTTGATGGGTAAACTTCCAATCAAGAACCAAAGAAAAGACAAGCAAAATTTACACAAAGCACATTTTCACAAATCTTACAAGCACAATCTCACATAACATAATCTCCCAACTGAAGTAAACCTATACAGTGTGCTGCAAATCTGCAAACTTAAAATAATACTTGAATAAATCTCCCCATAAATTTCAACATTAATGATGAATACTGAAGCTTGCTTCAAGTTAAAGATTCATCAACCTTACATTACATCCAGCTCACAATCATCCCATCAATCTATACTGGTCGAAAAACGGCAAGATGTTTGGCCAATGTCACATTTTTTGCCGATATGTAGCAGTGAAAGAGGATGCTTGTACCTTGCGCATTGGCGTTAGTGCCCGGGTGGCGACTTATGTTACATGGATCATTTACATTGTTGAGATGTCGAGAGGAAGAATGAGCTGGCAAATGTGATTCTATAATATTATCCACAATGGGCTGTGGTGAATCAGAAAACCGAGAAAACTTTGCAAATGAGCCACTCAGAGAATTTCATATATCATTTCCTGCAATTTAAGAGAATTAAAAAACAAATACTTTTTCTTTTTCATTTGTTTAAACCGAAAGAATAATGTAGTGTGGAGAAAGGGCCAAATCAAACTTTCAACTTCACAAACACCAACTTTCAAATGTTTCCATTTTTTACTGATTGGCCCCTGATTTATTTCGGTTTTCGAAAAGCCACCTGATTTTCAAGGGTAGTTATTGTAATTTAACTGCAGTAACAATAGGAAAAAATAGAGTTTCGAGTTTTAAGCAAACCTGATCACAGATGGGACAAGTTTCACTTCTTTCCATCCACTCAAGGATGCAAGAGAGATGGAAGTTATGCTTGCATTTTGTCATGATTTTAGGATTTTCAGCATCATATTCTGATGAAAAAATTAAAACTATATATTATAAAAAAATAAAAAAGAAACAATAGACAATGGCCGCTAAAATGACTGTTTATTTCACCTTCAAGACAAGTAGGACAACAATCCTCATCGTTTTCTGCTGCAACATTGAAAGTGTTGAGCTTAACAAGCCCAATATCAATCTTCCTTGGAGAGAGCAAATGGTGATTTTCGTCATTTGGGCCCACAAAATTGGGCTTCTCAAAACTACCACAAGGCTCGGAGCCCGTGGATTGAGGCTGGCCCAAGACCACATCATAGGGGATTGGTGCAGGTGGTGATCGGTAAGTGTCGGGTATCGACATATTAAGATTTAAATCGATTAATAGTCCGGAAGAAAGCACGGTTGCAACCCCATCGTGAGACGTTAGAGACTCCTGCTCTTCTGAAGGGGGGAACTGCAAATAAAGTTAAACATGCTAAAAGTGGGAGAAGAAAGCAAATTTAAGTTGTGTTTGATAAGCATATAAGCTAGCTTATAGCTTATTTGATTAGCTTATAAGCTTCCTGCATTCAAATAAGATTGGTTTGTTAGGACCAGCTCTTTTAAAAAGCTCGAGCTGAACTCCCAAGTTTTAGCTAGATTATCAACTTATTTTACCAAACACTTTGATCCTATAAACTAACTTTTCAACCATAAGTCATAAGCTAAGCTCGAAGTTCACTTAAAAGCTATAAGTTAGCTTATCAGCTATGTTTACCAAACATAGCCTTAACATGCTAAAAGGGAGTTCTTGATTATGCATAACCTAATAATAGAAAAGGCAAAGAAGGTGACATTACAGTTTTTAAGTTTGTTTCTGTGTTTAACTTTTATAAAAAGAGAAAAAAAAAAAAATGAAGAAACTCTTAAACTATGTTCACCAAATTATTCTTTTTATGCACATACAACTTTTAGCTTGTATTCGAGAATGCTACTATCGCTTTTTTAGTATCAATTGTCATTTGATTATGATATGCACTATATCACTTCCTTCGCAAAGATTAGTAGTCAAATTCAGCTTTGATCGGGAGTTAACTTGCATAATGTCTAAAATGAGTGTCAAAATGAGATACTAACGTAATAATACACGGGAGTTCCATGAAATGGCGGCCTTCTGGAAGAACAACAGCAACCTCCCATTTCCTAAGATTATTTTAATCCTGCAATCGAAAATCTTGTAAGGATAAAACTTGGCCCATTTGACACTAAATTGAGACAAATGCTAAAATGAGAAGCATAAAATTAAGTGAAAGACTCAACGAGATATATATCGAAAAAAAAAAAAACTCATCCATCAATTATTGATACACATGCTGTGAAAAATCCAAGTTGAATTTTCTAAGAGCCCATCAAGAAAAGAACTATGATACCAAATTACACTAACTTGAATTTTGACAATCCTTTTCTCATATACCTCTCTTTTGATTCCTTTATGAAGCTATTAAATCTCCTTCTCCGAGCAGCCTGCTCGCCGTATAAACTAAACGAGTATTGATTGTTCTAGCTTCCTGTTAAGAATTCAAACAAGCCACTAAATGAATGTGTTTCAGAGCGGTTCTTTGGCATGAAAGACACAACAATCCTGCCCATTAATTGAAACAGCAAA